CTAAGGAGCGTGTAGCAGTAGATCAGGCCAAAATTCAAGCTATGTTGAGATGGCCATTACCTAAGAATCTTAGGGAGTTAAGGGGAATCCTAGGGCTAACGGGCTACTACAAGAGGTTCATGAAGGGATATATCTTCATTGTATGGCCATTGACAAAAAATTTGAAGAATGATGGTTTCTTATGGGGGGAGGCGGCCACAACAGTTTTTAAGAGCTTGAAGAAAGCCATGACAAATGTGCCTGTCTTGGCCCTAGATTTCACTCAAGTCTTCATGGTGAAGACAGATGCCTCAGGATATAGATTGGGAGCAGCACTCATGAAGAGTCATTGACCCATCACATACTTCAGCTAGGTGTTGACAACTAGGGCAAGCATTTCAGTCAGTCTATGAGAGAGAATTGATGGCCATTGTGTTAGCCATCTAGAAGTGGCGACCCTACTTGTTAGGCCGACACTTCATTGTCAGGACGGACCAGCGGAGCCTGAAGTATCTGTTGGAGCAGAGGATGGTGATAAAGGAGCACTAGAGATGGCTGTCAAAGTTACTGAGATATGATTTTGAAATTCAGTATAGGCCAGAAATAGAGAACAAGGCAGCAGATGTCTTATCCAGGTGTATGGGGGAGTTACAGACAGTAGCTGTTTCGATACCACTGATGCTGGATTGGGAGGCCATTAAGGAGGAGAGTGCACGAAATGAGTTAGAGACTCCTGTGGAAGGGGAGAGGCTCCTATACCAAGGGAGATTTGTGATGTTTAGGACATCAGTTCACATTCCACACCTACTCTAGGAGTTTTATGGGAGCACTATTGGGAGCCATTCAGGGGTGCAGAAGACTTACAAGAGACTTGCCTCAGAGTTATACTGGAAGGAGATGCACAAAGATGTAGACAAGTAGCCAGATGTGAGATCTTCCAGGGAACAAGTACATGGCTATGTCTCCAGGAGAATTATTGCAGACTTTAGCTCTATGATGGATTACCCCGATCAATAGGGTTCACAGTGATTTTTATGATAGTAGACAGGCTAAGAAAGTATACTCATTGTATTCCCCTATGATACCCCTACACAACAGTAATAGTGGACCATAAGCTTTCATCAAGGATGTAATCATAAGGCACATAAACTCATTGTTGTCCAAAAATTAAGCAAACTTCCTAAAAATAGTTGTTCATGCTACAAGCCAATAGTGTTTCAAATCTGTATAGGTTCTAAACAGCAGATAGGGATACTGTAAAAGAGGAAACAATTTTAGTGAGAAAATAACAAATCCACTCGGATATCCTCCATTTGCTTGAATTTATTAAAAATCATTTTATGAGTTACCTCTATAATATCATTCTTTCCTAAGTAGTTGCATTACAAAACTTATGTTTTTTTTTTTTTTTCCCAAATATCATTGGTGATCTGCAGACTAAAATCGACAACTAACAACCACCTCCTGAAACCTCCTATGTGCTACTAAAACATTGGCATATATATTATACTAGATACATATTGATGGGCTGGCCGATTTGATTTGAAGAGAATAAGGAAATCTTCTAAATCAAGAGGGAGCTATTTAAGAAGATTCTTAATCAAAAGGAATTAATTATGAGATGTTTCCTAATTGAAGAGAGCATATTTGGGGGCTGATTAATTAGGAAATATTTCCTAATTGAAGAGTACAAATTTGTGGGCAGATTTGGAGAGGATTAAATAGGAAATATTTTCTAATTGAATATGGCTAATTTTGAGGGGATTAATTAGGAAATATTTCCTAATTAAAAATGATAGATTTGGGGGCTGATTTGAGAATTGTTTTGGGAGTGAAATAATTAAGAAAATAGGAGGGAATCGGGGGAGGTCTGTTTGAGTATTTACTGTTTATTGTTTGCTTTAAATAGGTGATTTTCCTAGGGTTAGGGATAGGTGTTGTTTGTTGAAATTAGATTGTTTTTAGGGTGTTTAGACTCTAGCCGGCGGCTAGAGATTTGAGAGAACCGGATCTTCCTCTCCAATTGAGGATCCACTTGTATCTTGTCTTTTCTTTCATAATACTTTCAATAAAAAAGTGCTCGTGTGTTTTATTCATGATTTTATTGTCGTTGGTTTTTCTGAAATTGCTAAAATTAGATTTCAACCAAGGCTTTTCGTAAATTTCTGCAAGCACTTCCTAACAAAGTGGTATCATAGTATTTTTTTGGGACATATGGTGGCAAATAAAGTTGATGCCTTTGAAGAGCATCTTAAGAGAAAACTTGGCCAATTCAAATCGTTTGAGGATAGAATGACATCAATGGAGGAAAACTTTACCAATCTAGAAGAAATGATAAGGAAACTATTGGAGCTTCACATCCAACCAACAACAATGGAGTCGAGAGCATCGTTGATTGGACGGGGAAGTAGGGGAAACCCTAATATAGGGACGATGAGGGAGGATCGAGAGGTAGAAGTTTTGGAGGAAGAAGAGGAGATGCCATCTTTGGAGCCACTTCCAAGGAAAGGAAAGGGTGAAGAAATGGGATTTTTTATGGAGCTAAAACTTTGGAAGGAGAAGAAGATGGGGAGAATATAGAAGCACCAGACATGGTTCAATCACTCCTACAGCAATATCGAGTGGTGTTCTGATGGGGACATCAGCAGCGATTTCGACACATGTACCTTCAGGAGATGCCGGAGATCAACGGCCACGATCATGATCTGTATTTTCATCATTTTATGTAGTAGTTTATTTTTATTTTATGTTTTTCCGTTTTTGCCCTCATGGGTATTTTGTAGCTATTGCAGGCCCAGGGGCATTTTTGTCTTTTGCTTCTTTGTCATTTTGAGGCCTATTTATAAGGCCCTTTTCTCATGAAATAGCTAGTTTTTGGTTGAAATGAAAAATATTTCCCTTTGTTCTCTTTGTGAGTGCACTTCCCTTTGATCTCTTAGTGAGTTCAAAGGGAGAACTAGATCTCTTCGTGAGTTCTAGGTTTAGTCCAAGTTTGTCATGTGGAAGTAAATTTTTGAAGAGATTCGAGGTGAGGGAAATCAAAGACAAAATTTCTCAGATTTCATTGTTCTTCCTCCTCTCACCCTAAGGCCACCGACTCCTTTGAATCCAGCCAGGCCGCCGGCTTACCCAGCTCAACCCGCCGGCCCTTCCTCCGTCCAGCAGCCACCGGACAGCTCCAGCCGCCGATTTTCCCCCCACCTTGCCGCCGCCTCCCTCTCCCCATCCTCTTTCAAATTTCAAAATCTGAAATCTAGGAGTTTCTTTGGCCATTAAAGGTTTCCTAAATTGTCCTCTTAATTCTTGCAATCAAAATAAATTGAAATTGAATTTGAATTTGAAATTCAAATCCAATCCAATTGATTGTTTTAATTGAGGAACCTCCTATTGCTATTAAAACTGAAATTTTAATTTCAGATTTTGTTTAATTATCTGATATCTGTTGAAGATTACATCGACCGCATCCAGTACACATTAGTTGATGTGATCGACGAGCAAAGATCAAAAGGACGTTGGATCATCCTTGGACGACCGCCATCCTCCACCACTCCGGCCACCAATCCAAGAACGACGATCTTAGGCTCCTTCTTCCTCGGAGTGACCTCGGTTCTAATGTGGAGACTCTTCTTCCGCTAAAGCCTAGACTAGTTGATCGTTTGGGCTTCAAAGGTGAAAGTTCTCATTATTAAATCACGGATTCTTATTTATCGTCGTAGTTTTACAGTTGATCTTTGCATTTTCTTAAATTGTTTGGTTAATCGACTCCGCTCTTCTTAGCTTAAGCAAGTTAAAAACCACGAATTCCAAGAATCAAACTTTTTCCATAAGTGAAAATTTTATGTGGATTATTTTGTTTAAATTGCTCTCTTTAATTTCTTAAAGTAACTCCATCGCTTGCTTGTTTCACATCATGTTCCATCCATTCAGGGTTGCCTCCTCTACAAGAATGCGAGCATGCTATCATCATGAAGGAAGGAGTCTCACATATCAGTGTTCGTCTGTACCATCATCCCCAAATCCATAAGGATGAAATTGAGATATTGATTAGGGAGATGCTAGAGAAAGGGATCACTCGACCCAATGCCAATCCATTTTTCAGTCCAATGCTATTAGTCAAGTGCTTTAGTTGCAGTTTCCTTCGTTCCACCTTGAAGACAATGTGGCACTTTGGGAGGGGAGTATTGATGGATCGACCGATTTGATTGAGAGGGAATCAGGAAGTTTCCTAATTAAGGAGAGCTATTTAGGAAGATTATTAATCAAAAGGAATTAATTAGAAGATGCTTACTAATTGAAGAGAGCATATTTGAGGGCAGATTAATTTGGAAATATTATCTAATTGAAAATGGCAGATTTGTGGGCCGATTTGGAGAGGATTAATTAGGAAATGTTTACTAATTGAAGATGACAGATTTAAGGGCTCATTTGAGAGTTGTTTTGGGAGGAAAATAATTAAGAAAATAGGAAGGAATTCGGGAAGGTCTGTTTGGGCATTTACTGTTTATTGGTTTTTTTTTTTTTTTTTTGCTTTAAATAGGTGTTTTTCCTAGGTTAGGGATAGGTGTTGTTTGCTGAAATTAGATTATTCTTAGAGTGTTTGGGAAAACCAATGGCTAAAGATTTAGGAGAGCCGGATCTTCCTCTCCAATTGAAGATCCACTTGCATATTGTATTTTCTTTCATTTCATAAAATTTTCAATAAAAAAAAGCATTCGTGTGTTTTATTCTGATTTTTTTGTCATTGATTTTTTCTGAAATTGCTGAAATCAAATTTCAGCAAGGCCTTTCCTAAATTTCTGCAAGCACTTCCTAACACATACATAGTCATATAGCTTGAGGAGTCATTTTAGCGACATGCAGAGGAATGCTCAAATATAACCAAAATATATATATGCAAGAAGATAATAATGCCATGCGAAAAGAAGAAAAAATGTTGGAACTTGACTTCAAAGACATACTTCTGATCACATATGGAAAATCAACCTTGTTTTAAACAAAATGAGCATAAATTGAAGGATTACTTGTTAACTTCTTGAAGGGATGATTGAATATTCACCAAATATGACATCAGTTCCTTCGCTCCAGCTGCGTCCACATTCTATATTACAAAAATTAAACTATTCAGTAATAACATAAAAAGACTGATGTTAGTTGAGCAATAATATTGAGAAGGAAAAATTTATATTGCTACTTCCTCAACTCCCATCACAGAAATAGGTACGCAAACTTATTCTATCATATTACCTCATAATCATATCGAGTATAAAAGTGGCGACCATAGGTAGCCCAGTGCTGATGAACTATGTCTTCCACTGTAACGAGCTTACCCCCATTAAGGTTGTCCTTGTTCTTGTAGGCAAGAATTGAAAGCCAAGCTAAGACTGCCCAGATCCCATCCTTTTCACGTATATGATCTGAACCTGAAAGTAAATAAATATGTAACTTTAGCTTTCGTAAATTAGACCAGAAAAAAAAAAAAAAATCAATAGAGATCTCAATAATTAATCTATTTGCATGGCATTTATTTGTTAGTATTCACAAGAAGAATGTGAAAAAAGATGTGGAGGAGACTAATTAATCAGTTGGTGTAGAAATACGGATTCGATGGTCCACACCCATAAGCTACACTGACAGTGTTTTAAGCCCTATAAATGTTTAGGACGAGCCCAATCCAATAAACACATAAACTAAAACATATTTAGATATTTACCCATTTCAATTAACTAAAAGGATTTGTTTTAGAAAGGTGAGTGTCAAAGAAGACACGAGCCAATCTTCAAATTCAAAACAAATTGGATGGGGTCTTAAAGACCTCAACCAACCAGCCTAGGCAAGGGTGTCTAGCTAAAAAGATTGAATACAGGAGAAACTGATACCTTCTTATAAGTACAAGGTAGCTGAAAATGGCATAAATGATGAAATATAGCCTACCTGTCCCGAAGCTTTCTTCACCACATATTGAACAAAGGCCAGCATCCATTAAGTTGCCAAAGAATTTCCATCCAGTAGGTACCTAAAATAAATCAGCTCTCTGTCTGTAAGATACCGATATTAACAAGAAAAAATATACAATGGGTAGCTACTGCAAGCACTTTTCAAATACCTCAAAGAATTTCAGACTTAGATTCTGTGCCACAACATCAAGAGCTGCAGAGGTTGGCATGCTCCTAAAAAAGGTTCCCAGAAGTTAGCAAAACAGAGTTATATGGTAACTATCGACATGCCAAACTAAGGAAAGGAACAGGATGAAAAGATCACATATCTAAATAATCAACCTGAACCAAACAAAGTGATTTCATTAAAGAAAAAAAAAGATCTAATTATAAGCATTGTATCTATCTTCTAAAGAAAAAAATCCCACGGTTCTAATTAGTATTTATTGAACATTCAACTAAAAAGAGTAGAAACAAACATCATCGTTAACTTTGAAAAACTATCAAATGAGCATGAGCATACAATATACACCATAATTCAACATAGGCAGTAAAAACACAGTGTACAAACAATCTGCAATTCAATGATTTGAATTCCTTTGCTGAAAAATGTAATTATTAACCACACTTTGACAAATATGTTATAAAATCCATAGATGATTTCTAGGCTATGTTATTAAATCCATAGGAGTACCAGGTGTCCTTCAGAGTGGAAGGTGAAAACTAGTTTAGTTTCATGTTGCTGTTAGTGAATGCAGCGATGTGTAAATTTACTGTGCTGGTTGCATAAGTTGAAGCTCCATATGATCCTGCATCCCATTGATTATTTTGGCTGTTTGAAGATTAACTATATAGTCTACTGCCACTGGATTTTTTTTGGGGCCATTCGTAGGTGGCCCCAGAGAACAAACAACATTCCTTGCTCGTGGAGTTTGGAAAACTGAAGGCATGCCTGGGTGTTTATATTTATATCAAATAGGAGGCATTTTTTAGTAATTACCAAAAACAAGAACATGAATCCTATTAAATCATGTGTTGTAATAGACAAAGACGTGGGATGTAAAACTAGAGATCACTTGTAATAGGGACTTCGACTTCTGGTGATTTTTTCAAAGCAACTGTAAGAGACCAGCATTTACAGGAGTTGTTTGGCGGCTTCTCTAGTTCTGAGTTTCAAGAGTTGTTTGGTGGCTTCCCTAGTTCTGAGTTTCAAGAGTTGTTTGGTGGCTTCCCTAGTTCTGAGTTTCAAGATTTTGAGGAAGGAGATTCATACATTTGTATTATGGAGATTTAATAAGAGAGGAATTTGGCTTCTCTCATTGGCTTTTACTTGAGAAAGATTGTGCTGAGATTCATCCACAACTGTCTTAAATTATGAGAAAAAAGATTTGACATGTTTTGTTACTCTCAATTTGTACTCCTTTATACATTTCATAGTAGAATTATCCAATGTTTTAAAAATCGGACCGGTCCGACTGATTCAACCGTGAACCAGTCATAAGGCCAGTCCAGTCCACTCTAAAAACCGCTTCTGCATCAAACCAAACTAAATCGGTCAGAATCTTCGGTTCAACCGGCGAATCGATAAACCAAATCTGGTTTCTTTAGAACCAACCAGTTCATTACCACATTTTTTAAATAAATAAATATATTATATTAAAGATTAAATATTAAATAAATTTCTTAAATAAACAAATTAATTTATATTTAAAAAATAATTTTAAATTAACATGAAAATTTTTATTATATTTATTTGCCCCAAATCACCGTAAAGCATCTTCCCATAGCCCCACCACTCCATGTGAGCTCTTAACACAAGAAAAATTAAAAAGCTATATAAAGAATAGCAATAAAGAGTTTCCACATGATGTGGAGGTAAATAGATAACTTCAGGTTTATGAGATCATAATATATTTAATGTCCATAAAATTCATTTTTAAACAAAACTTTTAATAAATCATTTACCATGTGAATAATATTTATTTATTACAAGGTTTAAAATTGCATAAAATAAACCTCAATGCATTTTTCGTCCCTAAGGTGAGGCGTAAGCCTCGAGGCGGTGTGAGGCGTAAGCTTCACAGACGCAGAATTGCGTAAATGAGAATTTAAGGGTTTTAGCAGGTAAATAATAGCAAGATTCTATCGTAAAATAAAAACATCTAAATGACAAGTGGAATTAGTGAAAATTAAGAAAAGAGATGCAATAAAATCATGTTCCAAAATACAAAACCACAAAATTATAGTCTATTAAAACTCCTAAAATACAAATAAGAAGGGACATATATAATCCAATCAAGTCCCATCACTAAATGATTCTTCCAGGAAATCTCCTTCTCCAATTGTATCTATGAATGTCATATCTTCATCATCTTCAATGTGATTCACTTTTCTCTTCTCTGTTCAATAAGAATGCAAGTTTTATCATGTTACTTGCACACTTGATATAAATATAATGTAATAGCATATAAGAAGTTGTGGAATACATTTATTTGGATGTTGTGCTGCAAAGCTAGTGGATGTGTGTGGTGTGCTACTAGTGGATGTGTGTGGTGTGCTACTAGTGGATGTCTCCACTTGATCTGCTTCGCCCCTTAAGACATTCATACTTAGATCCTCTAGTTGCAAGTCTGATAATGAAAAATCTGTCTCATCATCTATGAACCACTCATTATCAGATGCCACATCATCACACACCAAAGGGTCCTCATCATCCTTCAACCCTTTATTTCTCAACCTCCTTTCTCTCAACCTCTTGTTTTGCATAATATACACAATGGAGTTCATTCTGAGTGTTGAAAGTCGATTTCTTCTCTTTGTTTGCACTTGACTATATGTACTCCAGTTTTGCTCACCCGTAGATACACCACCCTGCTCCATCCATAATATTACTTGTGTTCAAACACAAGGTGGTTTGACCAAGTATTTTCCTATTTCGGTTAGATTACATCAAGGATCAACAATGTGTTCCTAATCGCCCCGAGAGCTGAATAGGAAAATAAGCAAGGAGAGAGCGAGAACAATGTAAAAGAAAAGAAGCAAGGATAGAGAGAATGAGAAGAGAGATCTGTACTTATTTGTCCCTATTTTCATAGTGAATTTCTTGGTGTGGTGTAGCTCCATGGTTTTTTTCCAATTTTGGGTTTTTCTAGGTTAAATCCTGATATCCTTTTTCTTTCAACTATTTTTACTCACTAGTTTGTTTCATCATGTGGTTTACTTCCATCCCCAACAATATTTATTTTCTTTTCCAAGTATTCAATTTGAGAGCTGAATCCGTTGTAAATTCTTCTGCAAAGTTGTTTTGAGTTTTTATCCATGTTGTAGTTGCTTCTGTTCACAGTTCCACCAGTCTTTTCACATTGATTATATCACTCAACCTTGTTGGTTCTCCACTCGCACTTGTTTACAAGCCTAAATGATATCCCCCCTTTTTTTTTTCTTGTTACCAAATTTTTACATCAATTTTAAAACAGCAAAAAAGGATAAGAAAAGCTCTGTCATCTAAATCAATCACATTTACGAATTACTCAAATCAGCAGGACTATAAGATAGCCATGTTGGATTAGGAATGAAGTGATGACCTCGCTTGTAATTCACCAAAGTAAGATAAAATGGTAGCCCATTAGCTTAGCTAAGTAGCATAAAAATAAAGCCTATCATTTGAAAAAAAAGTGAGGTTTTCATCACAAATTTGCCAATCAAAGAATTAATTAAGAATTATCTAATAAGCACAGTGGCATAAGTAGTCAATTATCTATTAATTCTTTCTTTAAAATTAATAAAATTTTGCCATCTTATATAGTTATGTCACAATGACTCAATCATTAAATTAAGATAAACTAGGATGGCATAACACAATACATCACATCAACTTTCCGCAGTCATCTGTAATTCCACCGAGTAGCTAAAATAGCCCACGTATCTAACCAAATATTACTAAAATATGAACTGAAAGCTCACATAAATTGAGTGAATCAAAATGCATGCAGATGTTGAAAAATTAGATAAGGATTTAGTAAGAATATTAAGTATACAAAATCTACCTGGCAACACCCTTCAATCCAGAAGAAAAGTAAGGAATGGATTGAACAGCATTAGCAGCAATGATGGCAACAGAATCTGATGGGGTCACAAAGAACCTAAAAATAAAGAAAATAAAATTATCAATTTCCAGTATGCCAGCAAAAATTACTTCTTTCATTGTTCTATACCTTTTACCCAAAATCATGTTGCGATCTGCATCACCATCAGCAGCTGCACCAAACTCGGGGGGTTCATCTTGTGGGTTAGATTTGCCCAACCCCATTCGCAAAACTAGTTCCTTTGCATAAGTCAGGTTCGGGTCCGGATGACCTCCGCCAAAGTCTTCCTGTTTGCATAATGCAGGACATTGATATGAACAAGGGAACTTAACCAAGGTATATAGTTGATACTCTCTGCTGTAGTGAAATACCTTAGGTGTGCAATTTAACAGGGAACTTTCTTTTGCACCAAGCTCTTCAACAAAAATGCGTTTTGCATAAGCTCCAGCAACACCATGAAGAGCGTCATAGCTGTTAATGGAGTAAAGATAACGTAATGCCAGTAATTCTAAAAGAAGCAAAAATGAGATTACTACCATGTGGCAAGTATGCATACCAAAATGTGAAGTTTGGCGATGCAAGAAGCTTTTGGATGGACTCAAAATCAAAAATTGACCTGATATTGAAGGTTAACAGAGAGCTTAATTTTGAATAGAATTTGATTCTCAGGAATAATTAAAATCAAGCTGTTAGAGAGAGATGAGTAGCATCAATATATATGCCCTGAGAATGTGCAAATGAATGTGCAGACAGGTATAGAAGATTATATAACAAGCACAGTTACTGAACCTACCTTATAACACAAACATGGACGTCGAGATAAACACATAAAACAAATAAAAATAAACACAAATACTAGCTAATATTTTCTTGCAAATAATAGCTACACTTCCATAAAGTGAAACAAAATAAATATAAATGTCTAAAAGCCTTCTTGCAGAATAATTGTACCTTCATCTGGTTGATTCAATGATCTATCATATCAGTTAAATCTTGCAAGACCAATTTGAAATTTTAAACCAAGTTTCAAACAGGAAAAATATTCATTTGAGGCCAATGAGCAGATCTATTCTATGCTTTGCTATAGCAGAAAGTTTCTTACTTCATCAATTCCACATAATCACTGGCAGAGTCGAATACCTCCACATCATAACCTCCTTCAGGTCCAGTAAATTTGGTCACCCCGATGGTAGAAATATCTACCTGCAATAAAATGGTCCAAAAAACTCTTGAATGAAAGCAACTACATGCAGAAAGGAAACAATTTCACAACTGTGGTAAAAATCGTACATCTGGAAGGTTCTCTGCAATGAGGTACTCCTTGATTGTCTTCGTGTTGGCATAAATTTTATCAGTAATAGCCTCTGGAGCAGGTCCGCCATTTTCCATATTGTATTTGATTCCAAAATCCTGGGAAGCACAAGTTCACTGTTAGTGGAAATGACAAGCAAATTTCATACCACAAATTCTGATAGAAAATATGAGAAGGGATAAGAGATTTTATCCTAGTCTTATGGACGAAGCCGGGATGTTTGTTATTCTTGCTACCAATCATTGCAGTAAGGCATTGCAATACTTGACAAATTTGAAAGGCTAATACTGAATGTTGCCGATAATTAGCCTCTGCTGATATATCATACAATATAGTCTCTCAAGACAAAGAATTAAATACTAGCTAATGAAGAAGGATAAAAGCAAAAAAAAATCATGCTTAGTAAAACACTCAATGTCTCCATAAACCATTGAAACTTAGAATCACTTTGAAAACTTGCAAAGAATGCAAATAAATTTTAAGCAAGAACAAGAAATCTAATATCAAATTGTAGTTCTAAACTCATTTAAAATTCTTCAAAGATGACTGGTAAGAGAAACATGCCTCATGTGGTCCACCTGGATTGTGACTAGCAGTCAAAATAAAAGCACCTGTAGCCTTGGATCCCTGCAGTAGATAAAGGTGGAGGTAATAAGGAAATATAGATAAAGCCGCCAGGAAAAAAACAAAAATAGTAATAACCCCTATAAAACATATCAATGGACCTAAATGTGTTAAAGCAGTGCCCTTACATCTGCACCAACTCTCTCACGAATGACACAAGACACAGCGGGTGTGGAGAGCAGACCATTTAGACCAACCCATATACTTCTGACTCCATTTGCAGCTGCCATTTTTATGATGATCTGCCAATTTGAGGAACACAAGTTAAAGAAAAATAAATGAAAGTTTATGAAGACTGGCAAAAATGACATCTAGCAAAGCAGTTTACTTTGACTAGCAGCCAACTAAATAGTTGATTTTACTAAATCTATACATCTAGCCATCTATTTAATTTTCTTCAGCAAAGACGGCAAAAATGACAATTTTCTTTAGCAAAGCAGATTTGCTTAATGTTGTCAAAGGAAACATATGAATTGACAAGCAAAAAAAAATCATGGGCTAAAAGTAAACCTGAATAGCATCTTTTGAGAAGTATCGGCCATCCCCAGAAACAACAAGCGTCGCACCTGCATTTCAAAAGTGAGGGCCAACTAACGGTTGAGGAAACTTAATATTTTAAGAGTTAGCTGTTGCAGATAGTCACATTTGTGAAAGGGGGAGAAAAATGAAAAACAAAATAAAAAAGATGTACCATTGTAAATAGCATAACGGAGCATATAAAAACAAATAAAAATTTGCACCCTCAAAAAAATAATTATGCACCATTAGCAATTTTTTAATATGTTATAAAAATTTTCATAGATCACCATTTTGATTACATTCTCACAAACTAAAAATAAAAAAATTCGATATAAAAAAGCTTAAGGATTATTTAGCCAATAGTTTGAGCATTCAGTAAACTGCATGACTACATCAGATTAACTTAATTTGTCAGTAAAAAAGAATAACCCCGTCAAAAGGCAGGACTGTACAGGGGAAATGGAGGGTAAACCACACAAACAACGAAGGAAGAACGTTTACAAACCTATAGCCAGTTTATAATCCAGCTACTGCGGTGATACCATGAAGCAGTCAACCGCAAAAATTATGCCACTAAGCTAGCAGGTTTTCTTGGTAGCAAGCTCGGTATAGATTCATTCATTGAATAAAACATGACAGATAAGATGTTTGTTATGACCTGGTTATTGGCTAATCAATTCAGGTTTCCTTGACAGCAAGTTCACTTGGTGTAACAATCAGGTGGAATAATTTGCGATGAGCACAAATATCTGAAGAACCAGTCCAAATCAAACTAAAGCAATCAATCTGGTTTGGTTCTAGTATTGGTTGGTTCGATTGTGGTTCCTAAAATGCTCATAACCAGCATAATGGGTAGGTTCTCAGTTGTGGTAGTTACATAATCTGAAATCAAACCAAATCAGATTAACAAGTTTAAATTTTATAAAGGCAAAATAGACAAATGATGAAATGAATGGGACAATAGTTAAAAATTATTGTATTGTTGTATCATTGTAAAATAGTGGAAAATGAAGTGGACTACAACTATATAGTAGCTTTTTTTTTGTTAACGTAGATGGCAGATCTAAATTACTTATACTAAACTCAAAATAGATGTAAGGAGAAAATGGAGGTGCGGGGAGAAGAACAAGCCACCCCACCCGCCCCACAACACAGGACACAATTTCCTTCTGCACACTTTATTCCCTTAAAGGGACATTGAAGTGATCAGCTATACTTTCATCATTCAAATAATTAATTCAAAGGCTTAAAATCATGTGATAAAAGTCCTCAAAACTCAATTATCTCTCCTTAATTTCAATAGGAATCAAATTAAACAAATTTTAAAAGCACTCTCTTCAATGACCACAATCAAAACCAATTTTTGCAACAATTCAAGCATAATCTCCTACAATAATGGTTGAATAAATACAGTTTATGACTTCAACAAACAAATATCAAATTCATAAAGTTTCCACTCTGCCCAATACTGTCTAACTATTGGACAACTAGCAAGAAAAAAAGGATAAACTGACATAACTTCAATAATTTTTAGCCAACAAATTCTACCAAAAAGAAGAGCTACAAGACAAACAGCAGTTCTGCCCCACTCATAGAATGATAGAACATAGAGCTGGGCCAGTAAAAGTCGCAATTCTAACCTGAATAGAAATCTTACCTTTTACTTTCTCAGAAGTAAGTGCATCGAATGTTGATTGAACAAAATTATGAAGGTAATTAGGTTGCTGAAACACTACAACCTGAATAAGAATTGAACAACTAAAATAAGTTCATTGCAAAAACAGAAAATGAATACACATAAAGATAAGCAGGATGCAATAAAACATGCCGACCATTATTCATGACAAGCAGTGTAACAACATCGATATTTTGACTCTGCTTTTTTTTTTTAGTCAATATAAGTCCAAATCACAAACTGTCTTCTCCATAACATCGATATTATAGTGTTTTAATTACACAAATTTTTTCAGAATTTTTGGGCAATTGTGAAAATCCTTAAGCAATTGGCATCTATCGGTACAAGTAGAGATTTTGGGACCGTCAAGTATCCGTTTTGCAAACCGATTTCATCATAATTTTTTTAAATAAAATGAGTTATTTTATGAATATTTTTCTATAATTTTTAAAGCCCCAAAAGAATTTATATGAATTTTATACTGAAATTTTTTTATTAAATTAATTATATAATGATAAATTATTATTTTAACATAATATCCTAAGTCACTAAAATGTTTTAAATACTTATCCCTTATCAATTTTGGAAACAAGAAATGTAAAAAAAAAATTAAAGAGAGAAAGAGAAGAGAGAGAAGGAAAAACTAGGATTTGGAGGCCGCTGAATGATTTTTGTCAGTCGAGCCTGTTAGGAGATTTGCTCTTCTCGTTGTAAGGAATATTTGCCTTATTTTTTATTTCAATAATTTTATAATTTTAATATTTTTTGGTCAAATTTGTGTTTCTGTTACCGAAAAATGATAATAATTTTATATTGGTAAAATATTCACTGTATAACTTTTTATATGTTATACAGATTAAGATTATAAACATTTTCAGTATTTATTTGAGATTTTTCACCATGTGATTTAAAAAAATAGCAATTTTTTCTTACTCAGAAATTTATTTTAACATCTAAAAATAACGCTTTAGTTCAATAAAAGCTTCATAATGTAGTTATATACAATCCCTAGTAATTTAGTTAATTTCTAAAAAATATGATTTTTTTTCTCAGTGGGATTTTTTGTTGTAAGCCGTTAAGACATTTTAACACTTTCTGAATTAAGCTCAATTATACTTTATTTGTTGTAATGCATTGAAAATGAATGTGGATAAGTGATTGAGATTAATGTTATAGTATTGTGGTAAAAGATAAGTAAAGATTTGTTAACCAGTTAGTTGGAGACTGATTAACCTATATATGATAGTGGGTAGATGGGATTTCTTTTAAATACTATGGTTTGATATTATCCTCTAATGATTCATGTAATATTGATCACGAGTTATAAGGAGATGATTATTGTGCTAGCGGACAAAGAGTGACGACTTTGTTTACTAAGCCAACGATTTATTGACATTGATGTGATACTAAAAAACACCGTGATAATCAGAATTCTTATTTGTTTAGTGTGACAACTGAAATGACTGTTATTGAGGCAATGTTCATATTATTGTATGAATTTATTATTAATATTGTTATTAATTTATTGAAACAAAAAGTATGATATATAGTTATATACATTGAGCACGTGATATACATAATATATTGAGCATGTGGTAAAATACTAATTTAATACAGATATAGAACAACTGTATAACATGTGTATAATCCTATATGATTTTACTATATTGATTTGATTTCGATAGCCTTTATCAATAATTTAATTTTTATCTCTTTATACGATTTCTCTATTGATTGTAGTATTGATATGACGATTGTTTTTGTGATTTGACACTCATATTGATTTATTGTCTTTTGAAGCATACAGTTTTATTATTTCTGCATTGATTCAATGATCACATGAATGCAATTGTTATGATTTAATTGTTGATATGTGATGTAGGCAGGGGAGGGCGTTCAAAATAGGTTGAGTTAAAAATTTTGTAAGTTTCTTCTTGAGTCAGCTCATTAATGAGCTTCTACTTATGTTTTAGCTCATAATTTGGTTTTAATTAGGTTCATTCCCCCCCCTATGTGGCCCATTGATTTCCTCCCCTTGGTTCCTTCCCTTTCCCTTGGTCTTTTCAATTTGCTCCCTGGCTGCTTTCTCGTGGCTGCCTCTACCCGGTTCCAGTTCTTCCTTTTCGGTTTGCTACCTGGCTGCTTTCCCGTGGCTCCTCTACCCGGTTCATGTGCTGCCTTTTTGGCTGCTTCCCTGGCTATTTTACCCGGTTCCTGTGTTGTCTTTTTGGGAGTTGTTTTGGAATAATTGCAAGGCTGTTCGGTTGTTATTTTTTGAGTAAATGCTGCTACTTTTGGTGGCTTTTTAAGTGTTGTTGAGATTAAATCTGGACTAATTTCTGGACAGATTTTTTGAACTGATTTAATGGGACTTAATGAAGATAAAAGGACTGTTTGGTTGTCCTCTTTTCTCCTATAAATATAAGGTGTTTGGGCAAAGAAAAAAGTATGCTATGTGGTTGATTTTTGGAGCCTAAACTTGCGGATTCCTTCGTGGAAAAGCTTGAGAGCTTGTTCCACCTCTTCCTCTTCTTCTAGGAAAGCTTGCGAGCTTCTCCTCCATTTCGTCTCGGCTTCTAATCTCTTTCTTCTCGCTGCAAGTGACCACTCCAATTGTATCATTCTTCTCAAAGCAAATGAAATGCAAGTTTAGGTTTTTATTATATAAGTTTGTTTGTGTCAAAGTTTGTAAGAGTCGTTTTTATTTTATAGAACTTGTATTTTGTCTAATTTGTCGTATTTTTGGGAATTGTGTGTAATTTCCTAGGAAGTTATTGTTTTTACTTGCAAAAAATTTGAGGCTTTTCCAAATTTTTGCATGCATCAATATGCATATTGCTCATTTGTCGTGCTTTGAGTTCAGTTGTAGGATTTGATCTTCTGCTGGACTTTTTAGCTCATTGTATGTGGTTAAATAATTTCAGGTAATGGTAAGGAAGCAAGAGTGTGAGATTGATCAGGATCATTTAGGTTCATATTACTTTTCTTTTGTTTTAGTTATTCTTTTGTTTTAGTTATTCTAGCATATTTTATCGCAAACGATTTAAATAGGCGCATTTTATCTGCAATAACTCCCGAAACATGCTAAGGGTATTACCTAATGCTTCATTTATCTACAGGTCAGAATCATTCCTTCTACAACACTCAGGTACATGAAAACAAGATGCTGTCGTTCAAAAATAACAAGTAACTTTGCTTTAGGAAGTAACCCATAAAATTGCTTGTCCTTATTGTATCTAATTAATTGAGCTTATGTTTCAATGATTATAATTAATAGGCTTGGTTAATGGGGAAATGTGTACAAATTACATTAGTCTGGTCATTCTTCCATATTCCAAATAAAACTTCTTAAACTTTGATAAAATTGACATCTCAATCAAGGAAATCCCACTTGAAAGTATTAATTGAATATAGAGAATAAAGTCAGCAAGAAAAGTTATGAATTTAATCACTGGAGTTCTCCAAAAAGTTAATTCCGCCACCTTTTAATTACAAATAAATAAATTTAGCTCAAAAACAACAAGCCTTTGTACAATAATCAATCTCAAACAGGGAATTCTAAATCCCAAAAGAGTGAGAAATCCAATAACATTTCAGCTCAAGCGCCGTGATGAGATAAAGATCGCTGCAGAAAATCCCTAATATGTAAAAGATTGATCAAATCATCAAATGACAGACTAAACAGGCAAAATAGCATAGGAAAAATTAAAAACCAAATATTTTTGATGAGAAACATCTATTATCGTGACCACATATCCACAGAACAGAGGAATCGAGTTCTGTTGTTATGATTTCGTTCATAGGACAGAATTTCAAGCCTATCCCATCGATTGCAACACGATCCAACCTCACCCATCCCTTCACCAAGATACAATGTTTGTATACAAAGATTTTTAGATCTACAATTTTAATCGTCATCAATCCTAATATGGAAGCGAAGTGAAGTAAAGCTCACCTTTTTCCTCAAGCCGGAGGTTCCTGGCTTCTGGCCATCGAAGGGAGTCGTTTCCTTACGGGTCACTTCAAAGACCACCATTTTTTCTTCCTTTCGAGCTCCTTCGGATCGTGCAAATGGATATGCTAGGTAGGAGAAGACGAAATTAGAATCAGATAAAATGCATAGGTGGAGTGCACCGCGAGTTCTCGAACACGAAAACCTTGGGGACGAGATTTGTAGGTGGGTTGATTGCTCTCTTCACGGCTGTTTGGTTCGAGATAGCAAACGGTGTTAACATATAAACAAAAAAAATCCACTTCTTGCCAGCTGCCATGGTTAAAACTTGTACGATCTTCCATTTAGTTTCTATAAATACTCATGTATTACCTGTATTCTGCTATCATTAAGAAATAAATATTTCTCTTTTTTCAGATAATAATCATCCCACACATATCTGCAAGCTCAACAATGCTCTTTATGGCCTCAAACAAACTCCTAGACAGTAGTTTAAAATGCTAACAGGATTTCTTCATCAACAGGGATTCATCACTAGTAATTCGGATCCCTCTCTCATGATATATCAGAATAATGGTTTTAATATGTATTTTCTAGTTTATGTTGATGACATTATTTTAACAGGAATTGACAACAAAACGTACCATATCAAAGCTTCTTCAAGCTCTCCAACACTGATTCAACATGCATAGTTTGGGTGCTCTTACGCAATTCTTGGGCATTACCGCCAAACGAACATCCACTAGTCTTCTACTTCACCAAGACAAGTATGGAGAAAAATATTCCTCATTGAGTTGGGATGCTTAATTGCAAACTAGTTGCAACACCAACTCATATGAAATCACATCAGCAAGCCGACTCTCCAATGTTCTCCAACCCAAAACTTTACCGTCAATTGGTCGGAGCACTCCAGTATCTCACAACTACTCGTCCAGACATCACATATGACATCAACAAAGCTTGCCAACATATGCATCAATCAACCGATCTCAACTTTGAATCACTCAAACGTATTCTATGTTATGTAAGAGGGACTATACATTATGGATTACATCTCAATCCAAATACCCATCTCACACTCCGAGCTTATACAGATGCAAACTGGGCAGTAAATCAATATGATCACAAGTCTACCACGGGCTACTGCATGTTCTTGGGAACAACTCTCATCTCCTCGAGTGCCAAGAAACAAACAACGATTGCAAGATCATCTACTGAGGCTGAATATCATGCTATTGCTACCGCCGCAATCGAAATTATATTGCTACGTCGTCTGTTACATGAATTCGACTGCACACAACATTTGCCAACTATATTATACTGTGACAACACATCTGCAATAGCCCTCGCAAACTGATTGACAAGTCCATGTCATCTGCTTGCAAGGGCATGTTAACATATAAACAAAAAAGAACACTTCTTACCAGCTGCCATGGTTAAAGCTTATGCGGTCCTCCACTAAGTTTCTATAAATACTCATGCATTACTTGTATTCTGCTATCATTAAGAAATGAATATTTCTCTTTTAGCATTTCCTCTATTACCTTTATTCCTTACTCGCCTTACGGCTACCGAAGGATAACAAACGGCATCCACGACCATCTACGGAGGGAACAGGATATTGATATATATTGGAAATTTTGACTTACACAATAAAACACTCAATTATTTTTCTTTTCTTTTTTTCAAGAAATTTATTTAAAAAACCATTTCATATTAAATTATTATTAATGAGAAGTCACCGAGCGGATTGTTTGTTGGACTATGAGTTATTCAAAAATAATTCAAATAAGTTTAATACATCAAAGATATGTTACAAGGGAATAATCAAAAGTATCTAAGAACAGATATATCTTATGTACATGTATAAGGATATGTTATTGCATACTTAAACATTCGTGGTGATAGAGAGATTGAGTTTAACATTCATGTTCTGTACAAAGATCTATCACACACACATATATAAAAAATAAGTACATGAATTATAAGAGAACATAATTTTACCTCGTAACCTCAGAAAAGGAAAAAAAAAATTATAAGGCCTAGCCGACTTAAAATAATTTCACTAATATTTGTATTTGATTATAAGTGAATCCCTGCATCAAGGGAAGGCCGCATCCATGCACTGTAAATAACACATTAGTTGGTTGAAGGTGGAAGAACTCCTCGACACCAATCTAGCATAAATCTTAATATTTTGGTTGGAATTCATTGTTGTTGTTAACATAATACATCGATCTTAGAAGCGACAATGTGTGTTAACATTATTAAGGATGGCAAGTGATGAAGTCGGCAGTTGTTACGAGTAAACATGCGATAATGATTAAAAAATTGTAAATCGGTGGATCATAATTAGGTGATGGTGGTCGGAGAGTCAAGAACAATTAATATAGTATTAAGTCCTCCGCTAATGATCCGAATTAAATCTAGTAAGAATTTACAAAGTTCATTTAAGATCTATTAAAATTCTATGAGATTTTAGAATTTATTCTAATGTAAAATATCTATCAAGAACGGTGTGTGGCTTGAATTAAAAAAGATGAAAATATATATGTTAAGTAAAAAATTCTTTGGGAGCACTGCGACACTCTAATTAAGGCGTCGATGCCCTCTTTGTGATTTGAAAATTGCTTGGGTAAGTTGCAACCCTGTAATGGCAGTGCTGGCTTATCTATATGTTGAGAAGCATTGTAAAGGGGGCACTGCCCTCCCTATTTCTTAGCACAACAGAGTTGTAAATAGGGTGTTGTGGTCCTCGAAAGCAGCACTACAACATCAAGCTCACTATTTTGAGTTATAGAACCTTCCCTTTAGGAGCATTGCAAAGGTGAGGATGATGGCATTGTGATGCTTGGTTAATAAATATCAAGATCCACGTTTTTATTCTTAAAATTTATTCATTTTCATCCGTCGGGATCGTCGACTAGAGAGAGCAGGAAATGATTCTAGAGAGAGGAAGTGGAGTTAGAACATGGAGCCAATTTTGTGTCAAACCAATCAAGAAAATTGTTCGCCTTGGTGTAGGTTACCGATACTTTGTCTTAGATTTCAATTTCAACACGTGTATGAGTACTTATAGAGTTTTATTTGATTTGGTTGAAACAAATGCAATTTTACTAAGATTTAGAAAGTTTTTATCATATGACTTTTCATATATTGTAGAATATAATATTTTGATCACGTTGATAGAAAACATGCGAATATTCACTGAGTGGTTTGATTCGTACAGTATTTAAGTCTTTATGTATGTTGATATTTCTAAAAAAATTTACAGTACAATAAATACTTCAAAATGATACTATTGAATATATATATATATATATATATA